GGAGTATGGGCCCTGCCCTTTGGGAGCCTTTGGGCGCCAATCCCAATCAAGGTGTAATAGGCTGGTTCAAATGTCTACTAGGGTAAATTGTAACTCAATTGGTCACCTAGTATCACTGTGGAGTTTCCTGTGTGTGTTACAATCTCATTGGTCACCTGTGTGTGGCCAGGCCCGACTGCATGGCCTTTGCCCTTAAAAGCTAGTCTGTGAAACATAGAAGGGTCGCCCTCTCTTTTAAGAGGTGCGGCCCCGAACGTTCGGTTAGATTCTTGATGCTTGGTGCAGAATAAAGCTTTGCTTGACCTTCACTTTGTATCATTCTCACTCCTTTAATCACGGACCCATTATTGGGGCATAACATATAACTCCATCAAAAAATATCTTGGAATAAATTTAACCAAGGAAAGATCTGTACACTGAAAACTATAAGACATTAAGGAAAGAAACTAAAGACACAAATAGATAATCTGTGTTACAGGTTGGAATTAATATTGTTAAAATGTCCACACACCCAAAGCAATCTATAGATTCGATACAATCCCTATCAAAATTCCAACAGCATCCTTCACAGAAATGGAACAAACAATTTTAAAATTTGTATAGAAACACAAAAGATCCCAAATACCCAAAGCAATTCTTGAGAAAGAAGAACAAAGCTAAAGGCATCACACTTTCTGACCTCAACTATATTACAAAGCCAAAGTAATCAAAACAGTATGGTAGCAGCATATAAAAAACAGAGACATAGATCAATGGGACAGAACAGAGAAGCCAGAAATAAACCCATGCATATGTGGTCAATTAACTTACAACAAAGGAGTCAGGACATACTTTGGGGAAAGGTAATTTCCTCAATAAATGGTGATAGAAAAACTGGACAGCCATATGCAAAAGAAGGAAACTGGACCATTATCTTATACCAAACATAAAAATTAGCTCATAAAAAACTTGGACATAAGACCTTAAGCCAGGGGTGCCTGGGTGGCTCAGTGGTTAAATCCTCTGCCTTAGGCTCAGGTCATGATTTCAGGGTCCTGGGATCGAGTCCCGCATCGGGCTCTCTGCCAGCAGGGAGCCTGCTTCCCTCCCTCTCTCTGCCTGACTCTCTGTCTACTTGCGATCTCTCTCTGTCAAATAAATAAATAAAAATCTTAAAAAAAAAAATCTTAAAAAAAAAAAGGAACTTAAGCCATAAAACTCCTACAAGAAAACATAGGCGATGATCTTGGCGATTTTTTTTTTTTTGGATTTGACATCTAAAATAAACATAACAAAAGCAAAAATAAACCAAGTGGGACTACATCATACTAAAAAACTTTTGCACAGGGGTGCCTGGGTGGCTCAGTCCGTTAAGTGTCTGACTCTTGATTTCAGATAAGATTTTTATCTAAGGATTATGAGTTCCAGCCCCGTGAGTTTAAAAACAAACAAACAAATGCTTCTGCAAGGCAAGGGAAAGCCATCAACAAAATGAAAAGGCAACCTATTGAATGGTAGAAAATATTTGCAAAACATATGTCTGATAGAGTTAATATCCAAAATATATAAAGAACTCATATAACTTAACAGCAAAATCCCCAAACAATCTGATTAAAAAATGGGCAGAGGACCTGAACAGACATCTTTCCAAAGTAGACATACAGATAACCAACAGGTACGTGAAAAGGTGCCCAACACCACTAGTCATCAAGGAAATGCAAATCAGAAGCGCCATGAGATGTCGCCTCACATCTGTTAGAGCAGCTATTATTATCAAGAGAATAAGAAATAAGGATTGGCCAGGATGTGGAGAGAAGGAAAGCCATGTGCAATTGTTGGTGGGAATGTAAATTGGTGTAGCCACTATGGAAAATGAAGGTTCTTCAAAAAACTAAAAATAGAACTACCATACAGTCTAGCAATTTCACTTATGGTATTTATCTGAATAAAACAAAAACACTAACTTGAAAAGACAGTATGGACCCCTATATTCATTACAGCATTATTTACAATGGCCAGTAATGGAAACAACCTAAAAGGCCACTGATGGATGAATGGCTAAAGAAAATGTGGTACACATGCACGACGGAATATTATTCAGCCACAAAAAAGAATGAAATCTTGCCATTAGGCACAATATGGATGGAACTTGAGGGCATTATGCTAAGTGAAGTAAGTCAGACAGAAAAAGATAAATACCATATGATCTCACTTATATGTAGAGTCTAACAAAACAAAACAAAACAAAACAAAAATACCCAAGTTCAGGGATACAGCACATCGATTGATTGCCCAAGGCAGGGGGTAAGGGCTGGGTGAAATGGGTGAAGGGCGTCGAAAGGAACAAATTTCATTATCAAATGATGACATTATTCATTATAAAATAAAAAAGTCATGGGGATACACTATACAGCATGGTGACTAGTTAATAATACCGTACTGCCACTAGGAATGCAGAGCTTGAAAGTTCTTACTATGGATGGTGACAGGAGTTAACTGGACTTACTATGGTGATCACTTTGCAATTTTGCAACTGAAACTAATATAATGTTATGTCAATTATACCTTAATAAATGTGGTGTCCTGTGAGTACTGTTTTATGTATCTAAGAAACCATTACTCTCCTTAGATAATGCAAAAACAAAAAACAAAACCCGAAACAAGACCTAACAACAAAAAACAAAATCAAATAATTCATTATTACTTAAAATAAAAATTCATGTCTATCTGCTCACGTTCACATAAATCATTCTGGTTGCACATGTTCATTCCAAAAAGTCGACCCAGATCATATTTTGAACTTACTTCCTAATATTTTAGGTTTCTGTGTCTTTCAGATCCCATGTTTTTGGTTTGACCATTGTTAATGTGCCTCCTTCCTCTGAGGAGCTTCATAAATTATATTGGAAAAAATCTTTCCCTATACATCTCACAATTCTGGATCATTTGCCTGGGTTTTCCATTCTCATTGATTGTCTGATGCTACCAAATTTCCCTTAAAGACATTTAACTTTCCATCTTACCTGTACCTCCTAACTCTCTCATCTCATTCTTAGAAATGAATGTTTTATTTTAACAGACTCCTCTAGCACTGTTCTAGTTAGAGTACTTGGATAGCTCTGGAACAATCAAAGGCCAGAGCCTACTTTTCAAACACACCACCCACAAAATTCAGTCAAAGCCACCATGACCACTGAAATGTATTTTCAAAGTCTACAGACAAATGTAACTCATGCTTAGTCATTTGGCCCAGCCGAATAAAATAATCAGTCTGGAAGGCTTTACAAGTTTGCATTTTAGGATGAAGATTCAGAGGTCTGTTTTGCTTAGTATCTTTGGAAAACGATTTTTTGAATACACAATTCACTTGAAAGATAATATATTTTTTTCTGTTCAGTTATTTACGTTCAGCACTGAATTATACTTTCTGATATTCAGAATTTACTTTAAGTTAAATCAAAAACAACACTGTTAGACCAAAAAAGTGTTAGAGTAGGTACGGTGCTTAAATAAAGTACGTGTCAAAGTACATTATAAGTAATGAGCTTAATAACCTAATGGCAACTCAATCTTCTAATCACCTAATCCAAAATCCATGGAGTCATCTTGACTCCTCATTTCCTCTCATACTCATGTGTAATATATCACAAAATCTTTTTGGTTCTCTTTCAAAATATACTCAGGTTCCAATCACCTCTGTCTCCACTCCATCACTCTGGTAAACTCTATCATTATATCTCAACAGGATTACTGCAAAAACCCCTGTGTGATCTCCCTACTTCCACTCTTAACTTTCTAGCAGTCTGTTCTCAACACAGCACTGTGATCCCCTAAAATCTCAGACAGATTGTATCACTCTACCACTCAAAACCCTGCAAGAGCTACCCACTTCACTCAAAGTAAAGCCTGAATCCTTACAAAGACCTATATTTTCTGGCTCCTTGTGAGCTCTCTAACTTCCTTGTCTATTGCTCATTTTCATTTACTTCACTCCAGCTACATTGGCCTTCTTACAGTTCTTCAAACCCACCAGGCATAAGCCAGCCTCAGGGCCTTTGAACTAGCTGTTGCCTCTGCTGGAACCCTCTTTCCCCTAGACATCTGTACAACTAACCCATCTCCTTCACCTTTTTAATAAGATCTACCTACTCTGACTACCTAGTAACAACTCTAACTTTCCTTCTCCTTACTAATCCGGTCTTGCTTATTTTGCCCTACTTTTCCTTTTTTCCTAGCCACTTATCACCTTCTAGCATATTAAACATATTATTTATTATGTTAGTCATTTATTGTCTGTTCCCTTCTGCAAGAACATGAGGTCAGTAAGACATGGGATCTTTGTCTCTATGTTCAGAAGGGAAATTTATATTTATGTCATAGTTAGGTGAGAAGATTCCCTGGTATATTCCAGAGGTACAAGAATTAACATCAATAAATTGGTTCCAAATCTTTAAAAATGTGCTCTCTCATCTTGATACCATAATTTTCTGGATAGAAATTTCCATATCTAATTATTTTATAAAACTTGTTTAGTTTTATAAAACTAATCTAGGAGGCATAGGATAAGGAACAATATATCCATGACCATTTCGCAGATGTGGGGTGAGAATGGGCAGACGAAAGCTTTCCAAGTCCCTTAGAGGAAAGAAAGCACTGCCTAAGCAGGCTTTTCTTGCTTTGTCGTAAATAATCCTAAAACAGATGGCCAAAAGCTAAATACTAAGTCTGCGGCTATGGAAACCACTATCACAGCAGACCATTCTAGAGCCCTACCTATAAGAAAAATTTTTGTCTTCCTATTGCTTCAATCTGAACTGACTAACTTTCACTCCAAGTCCTACTGGAAGGTATTAGACACAGACCAGCCTTACAGAAATGTCTGGGAGAGACTGTTCATACTCAGTATCACCTTAAACATAGTCAAAATCCAGCAACGTGTAGAGAAAGGGTTTTATATAATTAGACATGTTCTTTCTGCATTCAGGTTCTGTCTTCACTATATATAAATCCATGTACCTTACCTTAATGTTGCAAGCCTGCTCCATCAATCTTCTGGCATTTTCCTCCGCCCTGTATCTCTTTGGAAGCTGAACTCTGAAAAACTTTAAAGCACCTTCAAAATCAGCCTGCAGAAGATCTTCCTTTGAGGTCTGCAAAATAATCCCAAGAATCATCATTACATTTTAGCCTGCCTTCAGGACAAATACACTGAAAAAAGAATTTCTAGTCCCTCGACTGCTTGTTTGTAGCTAAGATCTAGCTTAGTTCCACAAGTTTTTAGGAACAGATTTCTAACCTCTTTACTATAAGCTGAAATAAGTCACCATAAATCCTGGGCAGGATATAAGAATTAATTAGTAGGCTAACATATTTAATTTACATAACCTGAAGATTAGAATGGTGGATCCCAGCAAAGCTAACCATGTTACAGCTCTGAGGGAAAGGGAGAAAAAAAAAAAAAAAAAAAAAAAAAGCCAGAAAAGCAAAACATTTTAACTCTAGGTCTAATCTATGACTTTAGCTTGCTGGGCGAGTATTTTAAGGATATTATTAGCAACTTAGCTGAAGACATAGACAATGTAATCAAAGCATATTAAAATTATATATAATGAATACCTAATGGTACCATTAATGGTACCCCAAGGGCCTTCCAACTAATGACAACAACAGCTCAAGAAAATAAGAAAGTGATCCCCCACCTTAAAGAATGCTATGAAAAAGTAAATGAAGCAAATCCCTTAACTAGCAAACTTCTTACGAAAACTGTTTGCAAAATTTACTTCTTCAAGAAATAACGACTTAAAAATAAATAGATGCATGCATAGAAAAAAGATGGAAAGGAAATAAAAGGTTTCTCTGGATAGTGGGATCATGGGTTTTTTTCCCTTTTATTTTGCTGTATTTTCCACAGTAAAGATTTTGTAATAAGAAAGACAAGGTGTGCCTAGCTGGCTCAGACTTTTGATTTTTTGGTGTTGTGAGTTTAAGCCCCACATGGGGTGTGGAGTCTATTTAAAAAAAAAAAAAAGAAAAGAAAAGAAAAAGAAAGGTCGGAAGTATTTTAATAAACAACCATAAGCAATCTTTGGCAAACACTCTGATACAAGTTAAAGATTAAGCAGACTGGGTACACAGAAGTAAGCCAAAGAAAAATGAGATGTTTTAAGAGTCAGAAATTAATTGTCAAAAACTTCAGTAATAGGGGCGCCTGGGTGGCTCAGTGGGTTAAAGCCTCTGCCTTCGGCTCAGGTCATGATCGCAGGGTCCTGGGATCGAGCCCTGCATCAGGCTCTCTGCTTGGCAGGGAGCCTGCTTCCCTTCCTGTCTCTCTCTGCCTGCCTCTCTGCCTACTTGTGATCTCTGTCTGTCAAATAAATAAATTTAAAAATCTTAAAAAAAAAAAAAACTTCAGTAAGAAAATGAAAAAACAAAACAAAACTAACCAGGATGGCTAGAAATCATAGAACTATGTGCTCGTTCTAAATATTACTTTATTTAGATTCAAATGTAGAGCTGATTAACCTTAAAGGCTGTCCTGAAAGAGTATAAGGAAATCAGAGAAATTCCTGCTCTTCACAGGGCATGAGTCGTCTTCAGCACCCTGGTCCCCAAACCATTAGACATGTCCATCGCTTAGGTGAACCACAGCACTAACCCACTAACTGGTCTTTGCTTTCGTTCCCCACAGCCCCCTCTCCTTATCATAGCCAGATGATACCCTTTCACGTCATGGGGTTCTTCTGTGTAAAGCCCTCCAGGGCTTCCTACAGTGCTCAGAATAATCCAAAATTGTTACCATGGCTCCCAAGACCCTTCATGATCTGGAGCCCCTGCTTTCCCCTCCAACCTCGTCTTGAACCACATCTCCCTCCTGTTCTCAAGCTCCAGGCACACTGGCCTTGTTCCTGTTTATCGTACAAACCGAGTTCATTCCTAGCTGAAGGCAACTGCCCTCACTGTTCCCTCTGCCTAGATAGTCTTCTCCTAGATCTTCATAAGGAGAGCAACTCCTTGTGATTTAGATTTTCAGCTCCAATGCAAAATCTGAGTGAGGCCTTTTCTGAGCACTTAAATTCTCCCCCACCCCCAGCCCACCAAGTAATTTTCCACCAACGCATTTTCCCGTTTTACATCTGTTTCCTCCTAAGGAAAGGGGCCTTGTCTGTCTTGTGCATCGCTGTATCCACAGTGACAAGAATAATAACCGGAATATAGGAGGTACTCAATTAAAATTTACTGAATGAATGATCTACTTTCATCTCCCCTCCCTTTTAAACAGAAACATGTAAAATAAAATATTAATCCATACAGCAGGCATTTCCACAGGGGTTCCAGGTTGCCTCAGCTTCAGATCCATAAACCAGTAATCAGAAAGTAGAGCTGGGCTAACAGCAGCAGTGGAGAAACAAGCCTCGGTACATCTCTGATTGACTTCCTCCCTCGTGGATACTTAGACACGATGGCGATAAGCGGTAGAGGGAACGTTTAGCAGGACAGAGTGCTATCGACTCACCTTAACTTAGTTGGGAAAGACTGTTAGGGGAAATTTCAGCCTAAGAGGGGGCTTCTCTGGCCGACGTGCCAACTGCTGAATTATGGGAAATCATCCAGCTGCCAGATACACCAGACACTACATCCCCAGTCTTCTCTTCTCAGCTGTGTTACTGGCTTTGATGATCAGCTCTCTGGTAACTGTCGGGAAAACTCAAGACACACTGCTTCTAGAGTTCGTGTTGACGCGGGATGAGCAGCTACCCCAAAGACTCTGAGGGCACCGCTTCTACTTTTTCTGCAACCAAGCTCTAGTTACCTGGTAACACACACCCCCAAAATGCTGGTGTAATTCCTTGCCTGCAGGCAGTAGCGTGATTACCGAATACTGGCCAAGGCCTCATTTCAAGTCCAGCCTCTGAGCTCATGCAGAAGCAGGAGGGTGAGGATTAAAGAGGAGGAATCGTGAAGCCTGTGACATGTGACCTCTGGTCAGCCATGGGTGGCCAGGACAGAGAGATGCACTTTGAAGGAGGCCATCCGCTCAGGGAAAGTACAGCAAGAAGCTCACCACCTGAATGGGGCCGAACCTGGGCTAAGTCTCTGGAAACCAGAATTCAGAGCACCCTGTGACTGCCCTTTCCATGTCACTGCTTGCCTTCACGATGCTCCCGATCCCACGGCCCACTCCGTTAAGCCCTGTCAGAGAGGAGCTCTAACGACCCCCGAGCAGAAGAACTCGGGCAGACAGACATGTGGAAACTGCATGGTAGTCTGTCCCCTATTCTCAGTTTCTAGAAAGTAGCTGGCAGTTAAGGAGACTCAAACAAGGCTGCAAAGTGTGAACTAAATCCATTCTGATCCCAGCTCTGGCTAACTTGTGGGGCTGCTTAATCGCCACTGTTCTACTTCAAAAAGGGAGTATCTTCAACCTCAAGAATTGGAGAAGGAAGTAAGTCAAGTCCTGTAGGTGCATTTTGTGAACCCCAAAACAAATCTAAGGGATGACAGTTTGGAAAGTTGTCTCTGGGTTGCTCAAATACGCTCAGGTACTGGTATTTTAGTAGCTAAAAACAGTACCCTGCTCTCAGTGACATTTTTTTTTTTTAAGATTTATTTATTTATTTGACAGAGATCACAAGTAGGCAGAGAGGAAGGCAGAGAGAGAGGAGGAAGCAGGCTCCCTGCTGAGCAGAGAGCCCGATGCAGGGCTCGATCCCAGCACCCTGGGATCATGACCTGAGCCGAAGGCAGAGGCCCACTGAGCCACCCGGGCGCCCATCTCAGTGACATTTTTAATTCCAGAAAGCAGGCAGGCTAAGTTGTAAGAACTTATATTCCTATCATGGACTGAAATAAAGCTAATTTCATTGAGAATTTAAAAAAAATATATGCCAGAAGACAACCTTAGGAGAGGCAAAAGCCACGCCAATAAGCAAAAAGTATATTAACAAAAACCTTGCTGGCCATTGCTCCAGAAGACAATCTGCAGTCCTACTATGATTCTGGAGGGCTTTTTCCTCCAATTTAAGAGACTCCCATAATCTCTAAGTATCACCTCCAAACACCTTTCTATGGCATAAACAGACTGTAAATTTATAGGGGTAACCCTCCATTTTCTGACAGATGTATGCAAGAGGTTCTTCCCTCTACAAAGGAGGAATAGATACCTCTTGGTCTCCAAAAATTTGGATGCCTCACTAAGAATTTATCACAAAGTTGTTTGGTTTTATAAACACTTTGTAAATATCACAATTTGCACACATACATGTGTACGTATCTATATAGTGGGATCATACATTTTTCAATTGATTACATATACCCTTTTTCTAAAATGGAAGATATTTTTAAAAGCCTGAGAGGTCTCACTACCTAGAGATGAACATAATTAACAATTTGTTATATTGCTTATAATCATTTTTCCTATCCTCACACACACATATTTAAGAAAATTTGAATCATATTAGTATATATCACCTTGCTAAATATATATGCTTCACAACTGTCAAGCATTAATGTAACAGTCTTAGTCCAAAATATAAGTAGCAGTGCTTTCTATGAAACTAAAACATGACTTCACACAGCTTGGTAATCAACTGGCTATGGAGATGTTGTAATTAAGTTTACAGTTGTATGTATGAATGCTATGTGTCTACCCTGATTATGAAGAGAAGCTTAACCCACGAGCTTGTGGTTAAGACCCAAGCTTTTAAAAATGCACCCCTGCTTCTCCTCCTTTTGGCTAAGATCAAGTGTAAAAATGCACCTCTAAAATTCAAGGACCAAAGCCAGTACCCAAAAGAGGAGAGGCCAGCTTCTGGATATCATTATCCATCTGTCTTCACTACAACAGAACTCTGTCAGGCTAGAAGAACTGATTGGAGCTGGAAAGGCTGTTCTTCAACTGGGAAATTCTTTGAGTTTTTCTATATTGTCTTCAGAATAATCGTGAGGGAAGAGTATCATAATGAAAATGCAATTACTTTCCTGACATTATTTGTTAAGTAAAATTAGCTAGAAAGTAACACAGATGAGAGCTAGGGAAATTTAAATAAGCAAAGATATGTTTTCTTCCCTTGCAAAACAGAGAACTCTATCAGCTTTTAAATAAGAATAAATGATAACTTTTGAAAATTAGTGGATCTATTAACATTCATCT